CCCCGCCTGCCCGCCCGTCTGCTCGCGGCGGAGCCCCGACCTTCCGCGCGGCTCCACGGCCGCGAGCAGGGGATGGCCCGGCCCAATCTCTCTATGCGGCCCGGCTCGTGTCTTGCTGTGGGCTCCCCTGTCACTTCCTCCTTAGGTCGCCTCCTGGCCCTCGGTCCTCACTGTACTGCCGCCTCCGAGGTCCACTGGCATAAGGAGCCCCGTTGCTACAACCTTCCTCTTCCCTGACTGGAGCTAGCTATGCTTTATTATTATTATTATTATTATTATTGTTATTATTACTATTTTTTAAAGAAACCCAAAACTCCATACGCTTTTTTTTAAAAAAAATCTTCATTTTCATGTACTGTACAGAAACTACAAAGCGTCTCATCTCTTTTTTGTAGGAGTGTTTTTAATTATCTAAAATTGACTAATTGGAGTTCAAGGTGTTCCTTTCATCTTTTGCGGTATTTTTAAATATTTATAGTAGGTACATGTGTTCCTCCAAGTTCCCTGGCAGAACTTTCCTGATATTTATTCTCCAACCTATAGTAGACCTGTAATGGTAAAGGTTATAAAATATTTGATATGACAGGAAGTTACTGTGTTTTGTTTTGGTTTGTTTTTCTTTTCCTCCAAATACAAGCACAGTATTTTTCACAGCAGAGCAGCCAAGGAAAACAAAGCTACCATGGTCCAGCTGTAAAGTGAACACAATTAAAAAGAGGGAAATGGTAGTAGATGTGTTCTAGTTCTCATGTGCATCTCTGAAGTCTATTTTGTATTTAGAGAGAAGACAAATGATACTACATACTTTCAATTATTAACCAAGATACATAAACAGTGTTTGCCAAAGTTGACGATTAAACTGACTTTGTTGTTGTTGTTGTTCATTAGTTCTGAGAGTTGTTTGCCTTGCAGTTTTTTTAGAGTTATTCTTGGTGCACTAATGGCCTTCCTGTTTTCTGGAATTTTCCTGATGAGTTACTCTTCAAAGAAGAAATGGGTATAACCAGAACAGATATATATCTCTGAGTTTAATGCCTATCCTAACTAAGCTAATGAAGGAGTTGCTAGTTCAATATGCTCACCCCTCCCTGTCAGTACATCTGCTTTGTTCTTTTTTTTTTTTCCTCCCCTACAAAAACAGAAAAACTTCCATCAAACTGATTACTTTCTTGAAGAGATTCTTGTGTCCGTTTAAAGGAAGCTCTGTAAATGTTCAAAATAGACCTGTAAAACAGAGGACTTGAAACATTGCTCTTGCAGTCTGCACTTACTTTGTTTTATTCAATATTAATAAGAAACTAGTGAAATTTTAAGTCAATTGGGAGTCTTTAATAATAATTCCATTTTTTCCCATTATTCTGGAGTAAATTGTGTTAAAATTTCTGATTGATTCAAAGGTTAGCAGTGTTTAAATAATAGTAAGGATGAGCAGACATGTCAAGATACTATATTGCTTGATTAACAGGTAATGTGTTTTAAATTATTTAACAAATATCAAATGCGATAGTTTGTTGTGTTACAGTTAATTTAATTGCTAAGGAATGCAACATGTATAAAAGCAGAATTTTGTTTGAAAGACTGCTGAACCAGTTTTATCTCAGTATACTTTTAACTTTTGACTTTTCTCTACTCTAGGTATTTTGGCATTTGTAGATGTTTGGTCATCTAACAGAACAGAAAACTACTCGAAAATCTTTGAACAGCAGCTTTTCGATATGGGAGCAAAAGTAAGGAAACTAATTTCAAGTGAATGGAATGGGAAGGCACTTTGTAACAAATTGTAGCTTATTCATTCTACTACTTGTTTATTTGTAGCATGAAGTGCAGGAAGCAACATAGTTGTAGACTTGAGAGCAGATGAAAGTGCATTTAAAGCATACCTATATGTATGTATGTGAGTATACACGTGTGTTTAAGTATTCCTTGTATGCTACAGACCGTGACATTTTATTCTTCTCTTGAAAATGTAATTTAGTTAAAGCAAGTGCCAGTAAAAAGACATGTAAGTGTCTGTGTACATTTGAGTGCTTTTTTTTTCCCCACATCAAATATGCTTGATTTGTAACTGCAAAAGATGTTACAACCACCAGCTCTTAGTGGAGATTTTTAAGAGTGCAATACACTCTTAACATTTGTGTGAACTCCCAGTTTTTAAATGGACGTCATAGGTGTATCTAATGGTAACTTATTAAATTTTGTTTATGTCCTCAAAGCCCCTTTTATCTACAAATTTAGCAGAGACAACATGACAGAAAAATAGTAGAACTGTTTTTATTAATAAATGTAATTCACAATGTCTGTCTTTTTAGTAAGAAGTATTTCTTGTTATGTTCTTTCAGACTTTCTATTAGACATGTAGAATTTCGTTCTTACAGCTTCTGGTTTCTCTAACAGAGAATAATGGCTAAACAAAAGGTTTCAAATTCCTTTACCTATTTTGGGTCGACCTGGAAGTGGTTGAATGCAATAAAAGGTACAGGCAGATGAGGCTAATAAGCTAAGCAATTACCCTTTTTAGCAGATTGTTCTTATTGAAAAGGATTGTTCTTACTCCTTTATCACTTGATTCCTGGGCAGATGCTCTTTTTGCTATTATTGGGCTGATATTATTGCATAATACATAATATTAAAATGAATTGACTCTAGCAGGAGAGAGAACTTCCCATTAGGTTGTTGGTTGAGTGGTTGAGTCATCTCAACCTGATGCTGAGTCAGAGAACCTCTGGGATTAAAGGAGGAGGCAGTATAGGGAAACTGCTTCATGCAGGTACACCTTTCAGTGTTTTTTTGTGACTTGTTTAATGATAAGAGAAGTTGTAAAAAGGTGCTCCTCCATAATTTGGAGACAAAGCCACATCTAAGGATCTGGCCTCCTTAAGACCTACTCTCTGAGCCTGATGCTAGCTGAAGTGGCTAACAGCTTATGTATGGAGTTATCTTATGCCAAAAGAAGTTAATTGGTCCTGTATAACTTAGAATATACTTTAACTCTTCACAGATGACAGAAGCCATGAGATTTTAACAGGTTTGCAGCTAGAAAAATCTTCAGGAAAGTGAAATATTTTTTTTCTCAAAGCCAAAAAGATCCAGTATATTGGGAACAAAATACAGCATACAACTGAGAGTAACAAGAGATAATTACACAGCTACTGCTGTAAAAGTTTATTGTTGTCCTAAGTGGAACTGTCCTATAATAGGATGTTTAGTCCCCCCCAAAATGGAAAGGATGGAATAGGTAAAATTAACAAGGCTTTCATTTAGTTGTCAGTGGAGACTAATAGCTGAAGACAATTGCACGATGGGATGAAAGTGTGAGGTATGAAAGGACTTGTTCTGGCTTGTTTTTTCTCTCTCATTTGCTAAGCTTTAAATGTTTCTGTATAACTACACCCTTCCATGATGATTCTCTCAAAAATAAAAGTGATTTTTCATGATGAAAGCTGGCTGAAAAGATGAGGCCAACTTTTTTCTTTAGACCCACGATTCCTTTTCTAAATAGATCTAATGGGTTTTTCTTTCGTTAATGACAGTTGATTCCTATACTGACTGTTGCATAAAATCATGTTGGGTTACTTGAAAATAATGAAAAACTAGTGATATAGCTACAATAGGGAGATGAAAATGGTAACCTAGAGAAAAAAAGCTTGAAATAAAGAAGCTATTCTAGTTCAGCTATCAGGAATGCTTCCTTCAAGTTATAAACATTTTTCATTGCCTTGAGTAATGAGACTTGTTTTTGGTTACTTCAGATTTTGTTGCTTAAATGGGAAAGATCAAAACAAGTCCTTTACAATATGTTTAGGGAAAGGTTTTATTTTAGTGTTTTATGCAGAAAAAAATAGACCACTCTAATTTCATAAGCATACTGAAAGATGAGTTCTTTATGTACTTCTGCAGGTTTCAAAAACTTTCAACAAGCACGTGACCCATGTAGTCTTCAAAGAAGGTCGTTTGGCTACATGGAGAAAAGCACAGAAGACTGGTGTAAAAATAGTTTCAGTACTCTGGGTGGAGAAGTGAGTATAGAAGGGAATATAATGAACGTAACTCATTTCAGACAGAATGTCTTCTAGTATTGTTTTATTCAAGGACTTAAAATACAGTACGTGCTTGCCTTTTTGTACACTTGAAGTGGTGATGAGTCTCTGGGCAAATGATCATTTTGCTTTGATGGCAGTATTCCTATTAAGTATGTTATTTCTGCCCAAAAGGTAGAATGTTCTCTCTTGGAAAATGTATGTGCTATTGAAGTAGTCGCATAATTGTTAACCATCGAGTATTCTACTCCTTTGCTCCCAGCTGGCATTCATAGGCAAGGCAGAAGACATTCTATTTATGTTGAATAGAATTTCTCCACTTCCCTATGAAAAGGCAGATTTTGTCATCTATGCATAGAACCTCCCCAAAATCCATCAGGGACAAAAATGAAGGAGATAATTATGCTGTATCTGCACTTAATTCCCATAGACAGTATTTCCTAGACAGTAAGGAGGAGGTCCATGTGTAGTCTGGCTCTTAAGAAATGTGGCAGGCTCAAAATGGCACTGCTTGAAAATTCTCAACTGCTATATGGGGAAAAACTGGTTTTAAAAAAAAGCTATCAAGTTTTAGCTTCACTATAAGCCATTGAGAACTTTCAGTTCCATATTTTTTTTCCTCTGAGTTTACTAAGTGGTTGTGAGACTTAATTTGGATTTTAGATAAACTGTAGTAGCATTTAATCTTTAAAACTCTGCATGTGTTCTGTTCAAATACTCAAACAAATGAACTGCTCCGAATGTTGCTTGTATGAATATTTCCTTCTCTGACCTGGAGTTATCTGAGTGCGTGTAAAATTAATGGTCAGTTCCGCAGTGAGTCTTTAATTATAGAACGTAATATGCTTTTCTGGTAGCTAATTGTGAAACTTGGAACTTTAGTCAAAGGAATGATATTCTAAGACTCGGATGTGTTATAGTTTACCAAAAAAAAAAAAAAAAAAAAGATCAGATGAGCAGTATCTGCAACTGAAGAATGAGAGAGACCACAAAGGAGCCTCAAAGTTGTACTGTCATAAGGGGGATAGGATTTCTGTACAGTACTTAGCTTTAAAAAGTATTTTAAAAAGTACAACATAAAACTTCAGTTTGTTAAAAAGAAACTGAGACAATGAAAGGAATAAAATCCTTGTTGGTATCATCAAGACTATTTAAAGCTCAAGTCTATTGCAATTGCTCCATTAAAACAGATTTTAGAAATACTCAAAGGAAATTGGCATGGCAAAATGACTCAAGTAAAAGAATGGATAAATACAGCTGAAGGAAAAGTCAGCGCCACTTTTGTTGAGGGAAGCTGTACCTCTGGCTATGCTAGACATTTTTGAAGGAATCCCTAAGGAACTGGACAAAGAAAATCAGGTATCATCTTTTTGGACAAACAAAAGGCAGTCAGCATGCCTCTTTTTAAACAGTCATGTGGTGAAAGAATGGGTAAATAACTCTTCGAAATAGTTAAGATGCAGGAATAAATCATTGGTTTTGCTAGCAGAGGAAACTCATCAGTGGAGTCTTGCAGGGCTATGTGCTGAGACTTGTGTGGTCCAACATATTAAATTACACGGAGAGGATGAATGGTGAGCTGGAAACATTTGCTGATGATGCATTCTTGTCTTTATTTTAAAAAGCTCCATGTTGTAAAGAACTGTGATAGGACTTTACAAGAAGTAAATAAGCCAGTACATGTAGATAGATGGAAAGTGATGTACATATCAGGAAGAAGATGATTTGCGCATGATTTAGACCCATCATGATTATTGACAGGGAAGAAGATTTTTGCATGTTACAGTCATTTTTCCTGCATTATCTCTGCAACAGTAGTCAAAATCAAATGAAGTAGAACAAAAAACTTTGAATTGCTTAATGAGATGATTGTATTCTGGTGCTTACCTACCGAACAGTTTTGTCCCACCTCAGAAAATGCCAACAAGGACTGAAAGTATAAAATTATTTTTCTACAAGACAGGACCGAGGAGACAAAAGTTCTTCAGCCTAGAGGAGGGAGCAGTATGTGGGGAGCTGGACTTCTGGGAGCACAAAGGGTGTTGTGAAGTTATTG